ATGGTCACGGCGCCGCCGACGCCCGGGCCCCACTTCCGCCTCGCTGCCTTTCGCTTCCGGCGCTGGACTGACCTCACTTCCGGCGCCTTTTTCCGGGCGAGAAGGAAGGCGCGGGGGAGGCAAGGCCAGAGTTACCTTCCCCGCCCAAGAGGAGCAGCTGACGTTCTGGCCCCGCCCCCAGGCAGCTTCTATTCGCTGGTAGAAACGCCTTCGTCCCAGATACCGGAATGCTTGAAGGTGTACCTTGCTGCGCATGTCCACGGTGGCAGAATTCCTGAGGGGACGATGGGGATTCTGGGAGCTGTAGTCCAGAGTAACACTTCTCTGCAGAACTCGATGCCTTAGCCTCTGGCGGGGCTTGGGAGTAACTAGTAACTCAGCTAGGTGTAACTTGTTCCTTTTCGGATGACAAGAGGACTGGTAGTTACTGGCACTTTTTAGGCACGAGTGCTAACACCTGTTCCTGGTAGAAACGGGGAAAGCAAGAGACTCCTTTATTAATGAAGTTACTGAAATACAACACCAGCTGGCCCACTAATACAGCAGGACCCCCCAGGGATCAGTATCCACTGATTCACTCATCGGCGGTCTGAAAATATTAAAAAGAAAAATCCGGAGGGGGGATATCTCAAGGTGAAATTACTAGACCTAGAGAGACTATGCTAATTATACCATTCATATTAAAATCACGTTTACTATCTGTGATTTCATTATATGTGGGAGGAGGGCTAGAAAGCAATCCCTTGTGGATACGGAGGTCCTCCTGCATTTGTTTATTAGCCCATCCTTTCCAGAACGTGGTGCTTTTGTAATTTAGGAGGAGGAGGGAGGGAGGTCCTGTCACCACCTTTTTTCAACCTGCGACCAACTTCTCACTTACCAGGAATCCAAATGAGCCCACAGGCCTACATTCTCCACAGTTGTTCCTTTCCAACCACGGTAGATCCAGGCGCTCCACAGGCAGGAGCCCAAGAATTTGCCGTTTCGAAGAATTGGGGGGTAGGTTTGGATGTCCAGTGCGGCAGGGGTCTCTCGTCCTATGCAGGAGCCCTGCTCCTTGAAGCTTCCAAGCTCTCCAAGGCTGGTGGGATGGGGCACCAGTTTTGCAGGGGGCAGCCCTCGATTTGAATCTGAGACCTTCCACGGTGCTGTTGGCTTGAAGAGGCTGCTATGGGACGAAGACCTGCCTTTAAGAACAGGGGACCTCGGCGCATCCCTGCTTGCTTCGAAGCGCTTGCGATGCGAAGACCGTCTGAGTCTCCCTGCCAGCATCGACACTGGGGTTCCTATCTATGGTGTGAACAGAGGAAGCCGTCTTGCACCAGGGGCGGCCGGCCAGTGACTTGTAGTCAACACTGTGTGCTGCCCTGAAGGACGTGGCTTGTGAACCAGAGGTCACCTCCTTTCATCTGCAGAAGGTCCCGTTTCAGTTCCTTGGCATCTCAAGCTCAAGGGTTGGGTGCCTGGCGGCTGCTCTCTAAACTCTTGGGAAGGGGCCTTCAAAAGGACTAGCAACCTGATTCTTTTAAACTGGAGGGGCTGGTGCCCTGAGCCAGGATGGGCTCCAGGGAAGGCTGGCTGAGGAGTCACGTACGTACAAATCAAAGCCATCAAAGATCAACAGGAGCAGGAGGTAACGGATGGGTCCTTCAGGAGGCAATTTTACTGACACGGCTGCCAGCGATTATGGATCAACCAAGGTGCAAGTCACACAGATTGCGACAAGCCCTTATATTGGAATATAAGGGAATACATTAGGACCTCCTTATCCGAAGGACCAGCATCCACTGATTTGCCATCTGAAAATATTTTTAAATGTTCCCCAAATACTTTATTAGTTTATTTAAAATATTTTTATCCCACGTTTCTTCATTAAAAAAATCCCAAGAAATGTTTCTAGCAAGGCAATTGCCAAAACTGGCCATTAGAGGGAGTCAGAGATCATGCCTTATACTGTACCAGTGGTCCCCAACCTTGGACCTCCAGATGTTCTTGGACTTCACCCAGAAATCCTGGCCAGCAGAGGTGGTGGTGAAGGCTTCTGGGAGTTGCAGTCCAAGAACATCTGGAGGCCCAAGGTTGGGGACCACTGCCTTATACAATGGTACCTCGACTTGAGAACGTCCCTACATAAGAACGATTCGAGTTAAGAATGGCTCCGTTCGCAAAAAGTTGCTTCTACTTGAGAACGGAGCCTTGATTTAAGAACCAAAGGGGGGGGGGGGAAGAAAGAAAAACCATTTCCTGCCCTTTTTTTGCCCTAAGTTCACCTAAAATAAACCCCGGGATATAAATCAAATAAATAAATAAGTAAATAAGTAAATAAATAAATGTCAAAAGAAGAAAAAAAATTCACCTCTAGTGGTAGATATTGATTAACCGGTTTTGCATAAGTTCCTATGGGAACTAGTGCTTCGACTTAAGAACAAAAAACAACAGATACGGATTAAAGGGTTTTCATTGCATTCCTATGGGAAATGGTGCTTCGACTTAAGAACATTTCGACTTAAGAACGCAGTCCCAATACGGATTAAGTTCTTAAGTTGAGGTACCATTGTATAGCGTTCACTGCCATCTACGGTTTTCAGCATCCACAGGGGTGGTTTGGAACCATTCCCCCATGGATATGGGGGTCCCATTGTAATGGTTCAATTAAGAGTCCTCATCAATAACACATTTGTGCAACCAAACAGACAAAAAGCACAAATTCTAAAAGCAACGGTGTGTGTGTCTCTTTAGCAGACCACATTTATGAAGAATGACGTTGGTGAGAAAGAATCGCTATTGTTCCTTGCTGAAATATAGACCTTTATTGTCAGAGTAAGTACAAACATATGCGCCTACAGTAACAAAAGAAGTCTGTGCAAAAATTTCCAGAATCAAGCCCTGCTCACCAGCCATCCGCCTGTTCCTATGAGAGTCAAAACTCTGCCACGGCTACCTGGTCCTTGAAGCGTCTGAAACCGTCCCCTTCTGCCTCAAGACCCGAACCCAAAGGCAGGTTGGCCTCTGCTTGCTTCGTCTGCCACCCTCCAGTGTTCAGAAGGAACCTCGGATCTGCGTTCTTGCGCACGGGACGTACCTATGGCTTTTCTCCTGTCTGGCGTGTGCTCGTGCCTGCAAGCACGTTTTCCAGGCTTAAAAACAGCTCAGTGACCTTGATCCAAGGGCATCAAGACTCCATGGGCGGCTCAGTGAGGGTGTGCTGACGCCGTGAAAAGGATGATGCAGTGGGGGCACTTCACCCCGTCTCCCCTCGGCCCACCCCGACCCTCGTCTTGGCCGTTTTGCGGCTGTGGCCACAAAGAGAAAGCTCTGGGCGAGGTGTGGGTTTCCCAATACAGTAAAAGGTCTGTCTCCCTCTCATCCTAACGTCACCGCTATAGAAGAAACAGGGCTGGGGCTCCTGTGGGTTAATTCAAGGCATAGCTCTGCCCTAAAACACACACACACACACCCAGAACATGGTGCTTCATCCAGGGAAGAGCCACCCCACCCCCCCAGGGATTCCCCATTTCCTCCATCCGACTGCATCGGACTGACAGCGAGGGCTCGCTCACAGCCCAGCAGGCTCTTGGCACAGCCCTCTCCCCTGATGCAAGCAAATGGTTTAGGGCCCTACGGTTTGTCGGAGCGTCTTCCCCTAAGAACACCACCCCGCATCACTCGGTCTTCCCTTCTTGGGTTGCCGTCCCGAGAGAGGCAAAGTTCGGCAGAGAAACGGTGCCTTCTCCGTCATGGCCCCTTCCCTTTGGAATAAGCTCCGGACAGAAGCTGGCCAGCCCCCTCCAAACACTCTGCCATCTTTTAAGGGGGCGTTGAAGATGGTCCTCCTTAGGGAGTGATACTTTCTTGTAGGCCTGAAGCTTCCCCCCCCCCAACCTTTGGGATTGTTCATTTAGGGCGCATGTCTTATCTCCTGATGTTCCACGTTGGGGTAGGGGTTCTCGCTTTGCCATTTATCGCTCCCTGTGCTTGCTAACCGCTCAGAGCAGCGCTCCGCACTAAGTCTGCTGTATAGAAACTGATGATAAATAAATAAATTCTCCTAAATATTTCGCTCGGCAGAAGCAACTGCTTCTCCCCTTCTACCTCCCAAGCGTCCTGTGGCACCTTAAAGTCTGCCTGATTTAGTATAGCCTGAGCCAGATGTACAGAGTGCTGCCCTTGGTAGGAACAATCATCCTCCTTATGGAGGCTGCTGCTATAGCAGTGGTCAGGGCAGTGACATGGGCCCCCTTGCACTGTTGAGCAGATGGACGGTAAGTAGGCGGACATCCCATACTGTGGAGTAGCAAGTTGCACTAGAGTAGGCCCACTGAATCCATGGGCATATGGTGAGCCAATTCCTCCACAGGTTCCACTGATTCATATGGGCCTCTACTCTAACACTGATTTTTATCCACCCTGATCTTCTGCAGCTTCCAGGAGCAACAGAGACCATTCCACCCTCCCACCCCCGTGGCAGATATCCTGTTTTTTAATGTCGTGACTCACAATTAAACAACATGATATCTGCCACGGGGGTGGGGGGGGTGGAATGGTCTCTGTTGCTCCTGGAAGCTGCAGGAGATCAGGGTGGATAAAAACCAGCTGTTTTTCTAAATCGAATTGCTTTTAATCACAACATTTAAATTTAAAAGATCATTTTTAAAATGTACATCTGCAAAAAAAAATCTGATTTTTAAAATTTCAATAGTGTTGAAGGTTAAAATTTAAATAAATTTGTTTTGAATCAAAGCCAACTTGTAGGAGATCAAGCCGAACCTTAGGCCGGAGTATTCTGAGAGACGGAAACAGCTCCCCACTCCTTTGGAAGGTTGCTGTTCCTGATGTCAAGATCTGTGCTCATTTATTCTTCTGCACGACAGGATCAGAATTAGCAAATATTGACTATTTCCGATCACAAGTCCCAGAATCCTCCAAGCAAGTCCGCGCTGGCTAGAGGATCTTGGGAGTTGCAGCTGGAAAACAAGCAAATGAGTTTTTCCCTGTCTCTGAGAAGGGCACTCCGTGGGCAAACTGGAAGACAAGCACACATCAATGTACAGTGGACCCTCGACTTACAGACAGCTTGATTTACAGACTTTTCGAATTACAGACTTCTCTGGCCGCAAAATTTAGGTTTGACTTGCAGCCGGAGAATCGACCTACAGAACAGGAAAAAAAAACCAAAATGGAACAAAAACGGCCGGTTATGGATTAATCGGTTTTCAATGCATTGTAGGTCAATGGAGCCTCGAGAAGAGGCCAGAAAAGTCAGTGTGCGACGCTATTTGAGGTCCACTTTGTGAGATTTCAAACCACATGCTTCTGCTCTTTCTAGATACAATTAAGCATATAGTAGGATCCCCATATCTGCACAAGATTGGTTTCAAGTCCACGAAGAGGCTGAAAATGGTGAGCAACAGTGAATGCTATAAAGAAAAAAATCCAGAAAAAGTTTTTTTTGCCATGTATTACCAGAACTAGACACTAGAGGTAGCCAGAGACCATGCTATGGGTTCTTGTTGTTGGAATACATAGCACAGTCTTTGACTCCCTCTACTGGCCACTCCTGAGAAATACACTGTGTAAGTATGTCTTTCTAGCCTTTTTCTTTTAAACTTTTTGAGAATTTTGGACTGTGGATAAATAAATCCATGGAGAGCGATCCTGCAGATAATGGGTTCCTACTGTAGTCTCAGAGCCATTAAGGACAAGAGAGGGGGAGACCAATGAGACTGATGTAGATATCTTCCATGGGGAAGATATTTCAGAGAGGGATCGCTTAAAATGTGGGAGCTCTGCTAAAAGATGCCAACCCAACCCAACCCTCGCCATTTGAGACGATGCCCTGGGAACGCTTCGGCTTCTTCTCTAAACGGCAGTTCATTCCACCTCGCTGAAGTCTTTTGAGAATCTCCTTTGGATCTGGACAAGACCACCAGAGCGCCATCCTCAGAGACCCGCGGACCCACGCTTGTACGAAGAGGGGGGGAAACGAACCGAAGGGGTACAAAAGTGATGGCTGGGTTCCTCCTTTTCCCTGCTCTTAGCCTCCATGAAGGAAGGGGGCGAGCTATTCCTTGAGGGCCCGTCCTGAGAACCTAGAGCAAGGGGTACCCCTCGGGCATTGAAGCCCCCGGAAGGCTAGGCTTTAATCCAGAGCACTCGGCTAGTGCTCTGGAGGCAGAAAATCTTGCCGTGGCAGACAAGAGGCAATCCCTAGGGCAGGCAAAAAACCCCACCGACCTGAGCCAAGCAACAACGAGTAAGATTGGTGGCTGGGCAATCGCTTTGTCCCCTGCGAGCGGCACCTCCGAGAAAGAAGAGAGAAGCGTCGCCACGGGAAAGAGGAGGACGGGGGTCATCGCTTGGCATACGTTCTGCCAGTGTTTTTATTCAGGCCTCTTCGTGGGGTGGGGATCTTGCTTCCCACGGAGGGGGAGCGAAGCTTCGCGCCTGTGGGCCCCGAGTGGTTGAGGGCTGCGCCGGCAGGCCTGCCTGCAAGCCAGAGAATAAAAGGGGGGAGGGGGGGGAGAAACAATTAGAAAGGAAAGGGTGTGGTACAGGCGGGCTTCACGGCAGGATTTGAACCCAGCACCGGCACAGAAAGCCACTCTTGCTAGGGCTGAGCTTGTGCCTCCCCCCCACATACCCCAAATCCCTCCAGCGAGCCTGAAATCAAGGCTTTGCTGAAGAGTTATCCAAAGAATCCCAGTTTGTCGCAAAAGCGGAAGAAAACTGGTAACCCAAAGGCTCAGGAAGGAAAGGGAACTGCAATTCAGGAACAGGGGACGCAACCCCCGGGCGTGGGATTTCTCACTCCTAGAGTCCACGTCGACCCCATCTAAACCACGGCTATGGATGAAACCAGAAACAGACCGACATCCCTTCCCGGTTTTGTAAATACTTTTTTTTTAAACTTTGGAAAAACCTTGGGATGGAGCTGAATCTTGACCTAAAGAATTGCAACGCTTAGGGGATTTGCCATTCCCCCCCCCCCCCGGGGGGGG